AGACGGGTTTGAGCTGACTCGGTGGGAAGGAAGTCAAAAGCCCTGCTTGGAGGACTTTGCCTGCTTAGTGCGGGAAGATTGTTGTCCGGATCCAAACCTGGGTTTTTGAAAGGTGGGTTTTTGGCCTCCTGAAGACATACGTGGTATCTATTGTCTGTCAGGAGATTGACGATTTGGAGTGCGCTTTTGCCAGGGCCGAGACCAAGTGCGAGGGCAATATTGTTGCCTCGTGGAGGATGAAACTCCTAGAGCGCGAGAAGCCTTTATGCTCTTATCCATATCTTGGAGTATGGAATCGGTAGTGCTGTTGAAGAGACCAAGGCCATCGAAGGAGAGGTCTTCGACATAAGACCTAGTATCTTGTGGAAGATTGGTATTACGGAGCCAGGATTGCCTCCTTAGAGCTATTGCTGAGGCCATTGTTCTTGAGGAAGCGTCTAGGGCATGTTTGGAAGTGTTGATCTGCTGCTTCGCAAGTACCATGCCTTCCTTCTGAATAATTCTGGCTGCCTGAAGCTTGTCTTCGGGGAGATGAGTCAGGAGTTCAGAAAACCTTTCCCACAGAGTGTACTGGTATCTGCTCACGCTGGCTAAGTAATTTGTGGTTTTTACTGCCAATGCTCCTGTGGAGTAGATGCGTCTCCCAAACGCGTCTAATTTTCTACTTTCCCTGTCAGAAGATGCAGAGTGTGTTCGTTTGGACTTAGACGAGGATGTTACAACCATCGAGTTTGGCTGAGGGTGGGAAAATAAAAATTCGGCTCCGGTCTCCTGGACTCTATACATGTGGTCCAGGTGTCTCGTTGACACTGGGGCTGACGAAGGTGTCTCCCATGGTGCTTTTGCAGCTTGTAAAAGGACCATGGACATGGGCAGTGCTATGGTAGTGGAGGTATCCAGTTGCACGATATCGAAGACGGCATCTGTAACCTGTGGTTGTTGTTGTACGACTGAGTGGCCTAGAGAATGGGCCATTCGTTTGACGAGGTCTGCATAGGAAGTGAGATTGTTGGATGGGGATATAGGTAGATCATCTGCGACAGCTTGGTTAGGAGACTTGTGGTCAGGGGAGGTGTGAGCCTCTGAGGCCTCTGTATCAGAATCCTCTTCTGCAGAATCAGAGGAGCCCTGACTGGCATTTGAACCGGAGTGACCGATTTTTTCTTGTCTGGTTCTAAAACCTAGCACAGTGCCGACAAGACTCAGGTCAGTGAGACTCCCCCAAACAAAAAATACAGAGGGTGTGGCGGTCTGGTGGTGCAAGTTTACTACCGCAGCCCTTGCAATGGTTAAAAAAGCCTCACTTCTTCTCCATAAACAAGAAAAGCAGAGAAGAAAGAAAAGGGGGGGGAGCCCGAAGGCGAAACTGAGGTAAACCGAACTTCTCCCTCAACAAAAAAACACAATCTTTTTTTATTATTTATTTTAAGAAAAACGTAAGGAGAGAAAAAGGATAGAGAAAACTAAAGGAAAAATCTGAAGAGCCGTGAACCCTATTTCCCCGCTGCTGTCAGCTTCTATGTTTTTCATAGGGGTTGATTCGCGGCGGTTTGAAGGAACTGGCGGGATGTCCGCGCCCACCCCTCTGGACATGCGTGGTGGGGTTCCTGCGCATGCCCGAGGTCTGGGCGCGAAAATCCGTTAAGAGCTTGCTACAATGCCGATCGATCCAGCGCATGCGCACTAGATCCCATGGGTGTGAAGCACAGAGACCACGTTGAAGATTGTAAGATACTTGAAGTAGCAGAAATGAATAAATTAAGTATAATATTACAAAATAAACCAGAGGAGTTTTTTTGGAAAAGATGGAAAATAATCTATGACTGGCTGAAGATGAAGAAGATGAACTAGGCTCGAAATTATACTAGTTAATGATATTCTATGTTAAAGAAGAAAGATGAATTACATTAGGAAATGTATAATCCTTTAAACCAATATATTCTTGATGGAAAATGAAAATAAAATTATTTTTTTTAAAAAAGAAAAGAAAGCAGAATGGATGGACTGGAGTAGTCAGCACCATTTTCCTTTGAATTCGACTATTATATTGAGAATTCATAAGTTTAAATTGTTATAAAAGTAACAGGTTCAGTGCAGTGGGTTGTATTTTGTTATAGGATATTTTCCCCTGCATAACAACATGAAGGCTTCTATATATACTGAGCACTAGATGAAGGTAAATATTGTGAGTTCATAAATTATCTTTGATTAGGTTGTAAATATTAGTATTAATTGCCGGGCTGATTATTATTATTATTATTATTATTATTGTAGCTGTATGGTACAACTGAAGAAGTATCAATGAAACGAAGATTGGAATCCGGAGTCTTCGTCCTATGTCCTGTGTGCCGGCTTCTTTTGTACACTCTCTGTTGTTGTATGTCATATGTATACACTATATTCTATCTGTTTGTATACATTGTGTTATATAAATATTCTTTGTTCCTTTGCACTTCAGCATAGTGCCTTTGATTTCGTTATTTAGACAGTGCTTTTTTTTTGGTTGTTATATACTATACTACACTGTGTTATCACTTTTGTATTATCTTGCTCTTGCTACACATTACTTTCTACCTATGTAATTCCGTTTTTTAGCACTGTCACATCTAATACTTAAACTTTATTTCAGAATTCTGTAATCCCAGAACTATCACTTCACTTAACAGATGCCTTACTCTGTTGATTGCCCTGGCATACATTGTGTGATCCACCTTGAGGTGGACTACGAGTAACATAAGTAAAACTATCAAAAAGCTGTATCACTTCAAGAATTTAGCAAATTTGTATCCTACTCTTCTTGTAAGGACCTCAGGGAAATATACATGAAATGACTGCCATTTCCTGCCCACCCTCCCAATAACTTTGTGAGGCAGATCAGACAGAAGGAGAAACTTCGCTAAGATTGTGCAACCGACTTCAAGGCTTAGAGAAGAACTTGCATCCAGCTCTCCTAACCTTCAGGAATGGGCCTTAAGAAGTGGCTTGCCTCTGACTGTCATATCTTTTGTGGCAATAAATGAAAGCGAGAACAAGGTTTGCCCTCAGGTGTGCATACAGCAGGGGTCCACAACCTTTTCGAGCTTGGGGACATCTTTGGAATTCTGAAAGAGGGTGGTGGATGCAGCAACGAAATGACTGCCGCAGAGCCAGCCACAGAATGTCAGGGAGCGAGGTTATACGTAACTCTCATAGTAAATCTCCAACATTTCAGGCAGAAGCGCTGTTTAACAGGATGCCCTTTTATATGCACAGCCAATCAGAAGCCCTGCTCAGAGCTGAGCCCTGACCTGGATAACTCAGACAGGCCCGGATCTTGTCAGATCTCGGAAGCTAAGCAGGGCCGACCCTGGCAAGTACTTGGACGGGAGTTCTCCAAGGAATACCAGGGCTGGGACGCGGAGGCAGGCAATAGCAAGCCACCTCTCTGAAACATCCAAGCCCCACTAGGGGTCACCAGAAGTCAACCATGACTTCCAGGTACACACACGTCCACACACACACAAAATACTCCCCCCCCCCAAAAAAAAAAAGCCCTGCTCAGCAAAACCCCCGCCCACTTTCTGAAAGCACTTCACAGGCACCAGGAAAGGTACTGGCGGGCACTGTGGTGCCCACAGGTACCACGCTGGGGACGCCGGCATATAGCTACTCTGAATTAGTCCACAGCCTTGTCACACAAATAAACCAGTCACTTTGCAAAAAGCGTTCGGACAAAATGCTAATGTTATGTTTTATGTGACTACAGAGAAACTGAACACAATAGCGCCTGCATTATTTACCAACTCTAAAAAGTCTTAAGAGACCAAAAAAAAAATATGTTACAATCAAATGTGTGCAACAAATCCTCCCCCCCGCCCCACAAGAAATGTAATAAAGAGCTGCTGAAGCTTCTTACTTCTTCTGGTGGGAAGTAGTGCGCCGAGTGCAGAAGACAGCGACCACCACAACCACTACGATGGTGATTACTCCCACGGAAACGATTATTACCAGAAGCATGTTGTATTCCAGAGGAGAAGGGCTTCCGTGAGGGCTGTTGCTGCCTAAAGAGGAAACAAATATTATTCACTATAGCTGCCAAAGTCATGGGATCTGAATCCATATTTCAATTCATATTTCAATCTGCATCTAGAGCACCCAAGTGAATTTAATATCCCGGTTTTCCTGCTACATTTATATTTATTTAAAATGCATATACCACTTCTCTCTGTGGATCTAAGAGGCTTAAAATTAGTTAGCTGCACAAGTGCGTTCTTGGTATTTCATATTGATTTATGAGACTTGTTTGTTTTATAATATTTATTTTAATCTGGAAAAACAGAGACGCTCAGGGAATCAACCTGTTTGGGAAGGACTATAATGCCCTGAAAGAGCAAGTTTGCCATTTTATGGTGCTACTTGATTCTGGCCCACAGTTAGAAACTCGGGTTTCCGCTGTGGCACACAATGCCTTCTACCAGCTTCAAGTGGTATGCCAACTATATCCATCTCCTGACAGCATGGCTTGGCCATTACAATCCATGCTCTGAGTTACATATAGCTTGGATAACTATAATGTGCTGGGCATGGGGCTGCCTTTGAAGACTGTTCAGATGTTTCAATTACAGCAAAATGCTGTGGCCAGGTTGCTGCCTAGGACTGGCTACAAGGAATCATATCACTTGGGTATTAGAAGATCAGCTCTGGCAGTATATTTGCTTACAGCCACAACTCCAAACGCTGGGGCTCACATTTAAAGCCCTGTACTGCTTGGGTCTGGGGTACACGAAGGACTACCTTTCCCCATATGCTTGATTAAGATATTCATCCAAGCCCTGCACTCTGTACCCTTGACTATGTGGGTGAGGCAGGTGGCAACTACAGACAGGGTGTTTTCAGTAGTGAAGCCTCATGAAATGGCTTTCCCCAGAGTTTTTATCTGGCACCTACCCTTCCAAATTTGTGTTTTATTTTCCCAGGCTTTTCATGAGAGCTTTTCCCATCTTTTACTTATCACGGCTATCTTAAGATTTTATCAGCATTTTATATGGTTTTGTCTAGCCCGCTCCTTTGGCTATGCTTTCACTTTATGGATCTTAACGGGATTAATATTATTTTACGCTTGGCTGGTTTTGATTTTCTATTACATTGCTACATAGCAGAGTGACTTATACTGCTGACAGGGTGGATTTATTATTAGTTAACTATTTGAGTTACTAGTGGGGCGCCGTTGTCCATTTCTGAATTTTGCTGTTAGCCACATCCAGTAGTTCTTTATGGAGAGGCAGTGTAAAAGTGCAATAAATAGCAATGAATGAATGGGTCTTATCCTGCAGTCCACTATACTCTACAATGATACCCTTCAAAGTATTTCTACTGGAAAACTTCCTACCCAATACCCAGACTGGCCAGGAGTGTGCAGGCACTCTAAATGACAGCCGTTTCTCCACCTCTTTGTAAACAGGGGCTCAGCTGGGCAGTTTCAAGCTCGTATCTGTGGATACCAGCCAATTATTTACAAAGCTTATTTGATCGATATTAGCTAAAATGAAATCCACCTCCAAACTTCAGCCGGCTAATTAGCTATAAATTGCAACCTCAATAGAAAGATGGATCATTGTACAATGAGATTATCACGCTGTATGTTCTGTTTGTTTGGCTGTGTGTTGTTTTTTTTTTTACAAGCAGACAAACACAAAGTTCACCATCAAATATCTTTCCCTCTCTCCCAACAGCAGGCAAGTAGGTTCAAACCAAGCCATCTTCTTTTGAAATACCCAGGGCTTTAGATGAGACTCAAGTCCTGGAATATATTCTCTCTTTTAGTACTGAATAATTCCAACAGGTCCCCACAAACAGGAGATTATAGGACAGAGTTTCCAAATGAGATACTGAAGCTTCCAATGAGGTAGAGCTGAAAAAAACACCCTAAACATCCATCAAAGGGGGCACCACCAAATAACTGAACACAGAAGTCTGAGAAATCCTTCACACACAACTTGTGCAACTACTAGAGACACTGTATGCAGAATTGCAGGTTAAATATGTTACGCGCAGGAGCCCTATTTGCACAGCTTGTGGCAGAAGTGATAAATTCATTCCCCACACCGAAATACGCTTCCATAACTATGCACACCCCTTCCCAAAAGAATGAGATCAATTCTAATCCATCGGTTTCACTTCTGTTTCAGACATTTACAACTGAAACATTAGACCTCTTCCCTGGAGCTCTGAAATGTCATCTGTTATGAAAACTGTACAGCATGAAGATAAGAGATAGCGTGTCTGCGTGTATAAAACAAAACACCCCAGACACCACAAAAGATAGCATCAATGATAGGAGGTGAACCCACTTGAAGGCATTTTCTCACACCCCATGACAAAGCCAGCCCACTGATCCATGAAAATTATGCGTTCTTGCAGCTCTTCATACTCCACAGTTCTAGTGATACTATGAGCACATTACAAGCAGACAAACACAAAGTTCACCATCAAATATCTTTCCCTCTCTCCCAAAAGCAGGCAAGTAGGTTCAAACCAAGCCATCTTCTTTGGAAATACCCAGGGCTTTAGATGAGACTCGTCCTGGAATATATTCTCTCTGTTAGTACTGAATAATTTCAACAGGTCCCCATAAACAGGAGATTATAGGACAGAGTTTCCAAATGAGATACTGAAGCTTCCAATGAGGTAGAGCTGAGCTACAGTCTTTTTCAGAATAAGCCAATATTAGCCACTGGCCTTGCCACAAACCAGTCAAACCCCTTCAAATCCATAAAATATGCCTCCACATGCAACACGCCACCCACCCACATCTCGCCTGTGAAAACCACTTCCCCGATGCTACCAAAGCCCCAACTGTCAAATCTTTGGCATCTGAGATTTTCTGAAATTGTGATTTTACAGCTTTTACAGAGATATATGTTTGAGCACAATTGTTTTATGATTGTTTTAAGATTGTTTTATAATTGTTTTGTATTGTTATTTATGTGCTTAATTTTTTTATGTAAGCCACCCTGAGCCTGCTTGTCGGGGAGGGTGGGGTATAAATTGAATAAATAAATAAATAAATGTCATGCTAAAAGCAGTCAGCCTTCTGGGGAATGATTCAAGACACCAACAGGACAATCCTAAAGCAGGTCTACTCAGAATCCTCCTGAAGTCTACTCAATTGGCCTTACTCCTGGGGAAGTGTTCTTAGGACTGCACTGCAAATACCCTTACAATTCATCTCCTGCATTCCTTATCAGTAGCCCAGAACAGTGGGGGATTTTTAGAACAAAGTTGGCTTCAGTTGCCACCATGAAGACTTACCAGCAGGCCTTGAAGCATTTGGTTGGTCAGAATGAAATCCTGGAAAGCTACTGCTTGTGCTGGAGAAAATCCATGCTACATCTTGGTGACAAGCCTGCAATATCAGGTATTGGGTCTAGTCTCACTTTGCTCTCTATCTGAATGGCTTTCAGCGCCCCAGTTCTCGGCATAAATGCACTTCCAAGATCTTTACTTACCACCCACGGGTGTCTTATAGTCTGTCCCAACATCCATTGGACGGTTTCCTTTTCCTGCAGATCCCGCAGCTGGAGGGGAAAAAACTATAATTGTGTCAAGTTATTCATATTTCAGGTCCTACTCAACTTTCCAAAACCTACTGCTTAACATGTTACCTAATTCTTATTTTTAGATGGACAGACATAAGCCAGAAATACACATACCCCAAGCATGTTGCAGGCCTTTTCTGGAAGTGCCTGTCCAAATGAACTATAGTATTCATAATTAAACAGATGTCTTCACACAACACACTGCGACAAATACTGAACCACTCATTCCTTTGATGAAGTGAAGAAAAGTACACAGGATTGTGAAAACACCAGAGCCTCCGTTCTTCCTTCACAATTCAATAAATCCCAAATCTTGGATGGCTGGGATTTATAGGATGGTCACAGCACCGATTACCACACCACAGCCCATGCAGATGATAGTAAACATTTTCTTATAGAAGGATGTTAAAAACCCATGCTGATCAAAAACCGGTCGGCACATTTTGTGACCATTATTTGGGGAATGCTGACTGAAAAGAACATTCAAGTCCAATAACACGTTAGAGACAAAAGCTGACCAGGATATAAGCTTTCGTGAGTTGACTCATGGAAGCTTGTACCCATGGTAAAGTCTGCTGGCCTTTAAAGTGCTACTGGACTCAGAACTTGTTCTGCTACTACAGACTAACACAGCTACCTGCTTGAAACCAACTGAAAATAAGTAGGGTGTGTTTGTTTTCTTCAAGAAATCCTACTGGATTTCAAGGTAAGTTCTCTGCAAATCCCAGAGGACTTGGAGTGGAAGGAGGAAAAGTATTGCTGTGCACTAGCCTTTGAAGAGTTCACCATTCCCCTAACTTTTCTTTACTGCCCAGAGGAGTAAGGATAGAGGTGAAATCTTATTGTTTTATTTGCACTGGCCTTTGAAGAGAAGAAGAGAAAAGCATCTGCGTCTTGTTAGAGAACGTGTGAGGAACTCTGGGCATGTGTGGGGAGGTCTCTCACTTGGTGAGGGCAGCTGCCACAGCTTATATAGTTCCTAGTGGCAACTGTTTCTAAGTGGGCATAATAATGCTATACTATACTCTGACTACAAGCCGCAGCAGATTGTAATGCTTGCCTTCAGTACAAATGTATCTGAGCCAAAGAGGAATTCTTCTTCCGCTCCTTCCTCCTCTCTGTAAACCAACTTATCTGCTGCTGCTGCAGCAGCGGGGGCAAGCATCAACAGCCCAAGAGAAGGAAGAATCTTTTCTGCCTCTCCACATTCAAACTCTCAGATGCCGTTCTGGCTACGGCCAACTGTTGGTGGTCAAAGATCTTAGCCTCTCATCAGCCAGTGCTGAGCCACTTTCTTTCACTTACTCCCACAGAAGCTGAATCCAAGAAGCAGGAATCTGCCACGGCAGAGAGTCCCACCTCTTCTCAGCTAGAGCGGAAGAGAAGGATGACCGAGCAAGAGACACAGAGAGGCTTCTATGAATGGCAAAGGCTATGCAATTAATAGCCCACCTGCAGCTTAAGACTATAGACTAGGAGTCCCCAAGGTGGTGCTCATGGACACCATGATACTCACCAACACTATGGTTGCCAGCTCTGGGTTGGGAAATACCTGGAGTTTTGAGGGTGGAGCCTGAGGAGGGCGGGGTTTGGGGCATAATGCCATAGGATCCAACTTCCAAAGTGGCCATTTTCTCCAGGTGAACCTGGAGATCGCCAGCCACTACCTGGATGCTGGCAACCCTAACCAACACCACTCCTGGTGCCTGCCAAGTGTTCTTAGAAAGTGCGTATGGCTACCTGAGGCTTCTGCCCAGCAAGGCTCCTGATTGGCCACTGGAATTTTGATTAGCTGTGCAGGTTTTAAAAAATGTTGCTTTGGCAGCAGCTACCACCACAAGCACAAGGATCTTCACTGTGTGACTGAAGGTAAGCTGTGGCGGCCATTTTGTGGCTGTGCCCATCACACTGTGTCAGAATTCCCAAGGTGCCCACAGGCTCAGAAAGGCTGGGAACACCTGCTGTAGACTAGAATAAGTTATGGGGACCCATGAGGACTCACAGGTGGGCATCTCGTTTCATGCTCCCTCCCTCCATAGCCTTTCCCTGCTTCCTTCTCTCCTTCCCACCCGACCTTATATCTGCCCCTCATTTCCAACTGTATTTTTAAATTTCAGTTATACTTTATTTATTTATTTATTTATTATTTAGATTTTTATCCCGCCCTCCCCGTAGGCCACACCTTTCTCCACAACAGGGGACCCAAAGCAGCTCACACTGTTCTCCTCTCCTCTATTGTATCCTTACAACAACCTTGTGAGGTAGGTTAGGCTGAGAATGTGTGGCTCAAGGTCACCCAGTGAGCTTTCACAACTGAGTGGTGATTCGAAACTTGTTCCTCCAGATCCTAGTCTGAAACTCTAACCCCTAAACTACACTGGCTTTTGTGGGGTGGTTGCTGACAGGCCTGGCCCTGATAGTCCTCCCCCCAAAGGCGAAAACAGACCTAGAAAGGGCCCTTCTCCTTCCCTTCACCTTTTAGGGACAGAAACCAAGGCTACAGTGCTGTGGTTGCCTAGCAACCCCCATAAGGGCCACTGAGAGGTCATTCATTTCTTAACTGATTCTGTTATTGAGGGAATGTTAACTCCCAAATGTAATTTTTTAAAGACTTCAGACTCTTTTTTTTTTTTTTTTGGCAAACCTGTTGCTTGTTTCAGGTTTGTAGAAAGATCTGTATCATCTGTTCATGGCTCCAGTCTCTGGATTTACATATCCTCAGATTTGAGAATCAGAGATACTGATGACTGAAAAGACTGCATGTTTAGGCAGTTTCAGTTCACTTGTACACAATTTGAAAGTTAACTTGCCTTTCTTCCCTATTACAACACAATTTCTTTTTACAAAGCTTGTCAATGTTTTGAAGTTGAAGTTACATAGGTTTTGAATCCGAAATTCTTGGTTTTGTGTGTGTTTTGTTTCCAATAGTGTTTGTTTTTAAAGTACTGTTGTGTATCTTGTTCAAGAGGAAAATACACCAAAGAAGCCAATATGCTAAGAAACAAATGTTTATATAAAACTTAAACAAATATAGTACAAAACGGCCTCCCTACAGGTCCATAAAAGCATTATTTATTCAGACTGTGAAAAATATGGCTGCAGTGTTCCTCTCAAAGGAGACTTTTTGATGTTCCTTCTCACTCACAGACAAGCATAAAAGAGTACACACACACATTTTTGTGGTGGTGTCAAGATAACAGAAAAAGCTCTCTTTTATTGGGGGGGGATTCTACAAAGGTAACAGAACTTCATTACGAAAGAAAAGAAACCAAAGCCTCTGCTAGAAGTTTCAAAGCGTTGTAGGTATCTTGCCCAGACATGCTTCCTGGCATTAAAATGATAGCATATTTGACGTAAACAGTGTTCCAGCCTTTTTCTGAGACGCCAGCTAGCACTTTTACCCTCTAGCCATGGGAGTGGAACCTCCCACTGCCAAACCACCCTCTTGGCAATAATTTTCATAAATATAGCATTATGGATCAGGTCAGCCAATAAAATAGCAAATTAACAAACACAGGGGCATCACAGGATGACTTGCAACATGCTTATCACACCCGTTCCATATGAATAAGTGTAGGAAAGCATGTAATTATGCGATACAGTCAGGAATCACTGAGTGATTCAGACACAGAGCAATATGAGTTAACGTGTCAAGTGCGGAGAAGAGGGAAGGCCAAGAAAAAGAATTTTCAGGGATAACAAGTGTGAAAGAAGGATTCAGGTGGGTAGCCATGTTGGTCTGAAGCAATAGAACAAACTTGAGTCCAGTGGCACCTTTAAGACCAATGAAGTTTAATTCTGGGAATAACCTTTCATGTGCAAGCACACTTCTTCAGATACCTGAAGAAGTGTGCCTGCACACGAAAGCTTATACCCAGAATTAAACTTTGTTGGTCTTAAAGGTGCCACTGGACTCAAAGATACCTGAAGAAGTGTTGCATGCACACGAAAGCTTATACCCAAAATTAAACTTTGTTGGTCTTAAAGGTGCCACTGGACTCAAAGTGTGAAAGAAAGCAAAGCATCCTCTTTCAGCCCAGTCCTAATGGCTGCCCAGTCACTTTATGTGTGACCTGGGCTATTCTTACTTTCCAGTTCTACTGCTAGTGCTGCCACAGAACTAACTGGAAAAGTGGGAAAATTCCAACCGATGACCACAGGTTGGTTCTTAGTATGATGTTGCCTTGGCTTAACGTGCTTTATCTTAGCCTGCCATGCCCCTCTGGTGCTACTCCTCAGGGCATATGTCATGATGGAAGATCTCCCTTCTATGAACCACATATATGCTTCTGCACTATTTACCAAAGCAGTGGCCAAGCTGTGTGTGTCCCCCAGGCAGGATGCAACACAGGGAGATGATCCTGCAACTGGCTTGACATTCCTGTTCCCTTGTTAATGCTCAAGGACAACCCAACCTGTCTGTTCCTCAAGACTTACTCCTCCATTTTAATACTCAAGGGGATACATCATCCCACACAACCCTACACATTCCTCCACAGACAGCCTGTGACCAAATCCTAATTGAGAAGGCATGGAAGGGAGTGCGGAAGCTGCAAACCTGGTGTCAGATGCCCATTTATTTAGGTTCATGCCCTAAATCCCTAAACCTGATTGCTAGTCATTTAGTTGAAGATTAAACAATGGACCTTCCATGTTATTATTCCAAACTCACTCCATTACAGTGTAGTTCTGTCCAGTCAAACTGCAGGAGCAGCAATATGTGACATAGGAGACTCAGGAGTTCATGCCAGAGCTGAATTAACAGAAGATTCTCTGAAGAGTTTTGACAGCCCCGGCTTCTTTTGATACGGACTAAGATTAGAAAATTGCTATGAATGCCAAAGTGAGTGCGGAGGGTCGCGCTTGAGCTGCTCCTCTCTGGGATTTCTTTATGCCAAACAGGAAAAAAAATAATGCTCTCTCTCTCTCTCTCATAGGTCCATAGCTGGCAAATACCTGTTTTTTAAAACTAGGGGTGACCAGAACCACTGAATCTATTTCCTTAACACGACCAGAACCTGCTGGATTGTAACAGTCGCTGAGTCCATCCTGGAAAAAAACCCGTCCTTCCGTTATGGCCATCAACTGATTTAAATAATCTCAAAATAGCCTTTTAACCAATTAATCCACTTTAAAATGCAAAGATATTTGCATATCAACAAAATACCCAGTAAAGTGCCTTCAAGATACAACAATCACTGAGTCCCAAAAATCACGAATGCATTGTTAAATGGGACGAAGCCTTGTAGCCCTATATATTGAAATAGATATTGCAATTTACCCTCATGGCCTAAGGCGTTTGAACTTTTAATTAACTAACCTACTGATTAAACTGATTAAAGTTTGCAGCCTGAGAAAATCCATCTAATATATATTACATGATAATAACTGTGTGGCAAGGAAGCAGCAGTACCGAGTCACGGTTATGACACAACGCATGCAAAAATAACATAATGGAGAGAAGTAAGCAGTGGGGTCCCACAAGGATTGGTATTGGGGCCAGCCCGGTACTATTTCATTTATTCATAAACAATCCAGAACAATCCAATTTATTATTCATAAACAATCCAGAACTAGGGGTGGGTAGTGTAGTGGCCGAGTTTGCAGGCACAAACTCAGTGAAAACTAAGGCTGACTGTGAAGAGCTCCAAGAGGACCTCCACAAACTGGGTGAGTGGGCGACAATGTGGTGGCAAATGATGTCCAGTGCTGGGAAGTGAAAGGTGAGGCCCATTGGTACAAAGAAATCCCAACTTCGAGCATAAGCTAATGGGGTCTGAACTTGCTGAGACTGAGAGGGGAGAAGATCCTGGGGTTGTAGTGGAGAGCTCAATGAAAGCGTCAACCCAGTGGGATGCAGAGGTGAGAAAGGCAAACTCTTATGTCAGGAATTATTAGGAAAGGGACTGAGAATAAAACGGCCGATATTGTAATGCCCCTATATAGATCTATGGTGCAGCCTCATTTGGAATCCTGTGTACAGTTCTGGTCCCTGTATCTCAGAAAGGACCTGGCAGAGCTGGAAAAACTACAGAAGAGGGCAACCAAGATGACTAGGGGGTTGGAGCACCCTCCCTATGAGGAAAGGCTAAAGAATCTGGGACTTCCTAGTTTAGAAAAGAGACAAGTAAGGGGGAGATATAAGAAAGGTTTATAAGCCCGTTTGCGGGGAGGGCGGGGTATAAATCGAAATAATAAGTAAATAAATAAAATTATGCACGAGGCAGAAAGAGTTGATAAAGAGACATTTTTCTCCCTCTCCCAAAATACTAGAACTCGAGGGCATCCAATGACACTGACGGGCAGTAGGTTCCGGAAGAACAAAAGGAAAAACTACTTTACACAGAGAGTGACTAAATTCACTGTCAGAGGGTTATAGGGATGGCTACAGGAATAAACAGCTTTCAAAGGGGATTAGACAGATTCATGGAGGATAAGTCTATCAAAGGCTACCAGCCATGGTGTCTGAGGGGAACCTTCACATTCAGAGGCTCTAAACCTCTGAATCCCAGAGCCAGGAGGCTACAACTGGATGCCATATTCCTAGATAATAAACCTAGTTATCAGTGGGTAAGGTGAAATCAAATTAATGATTAAAAACCCTTCATACTTTACAACTACAACCCTACTTGTTTCTCTTTAGACACACCACTTCATCAAGGCATGAGTTGAGATAGAACCACATTTGCACTTATTCATCACCAGGGCACCTGACTCTTTCGCGGTTGGACAAGAGTGCGTCTCAAGGAGTTCTGTGATCCATTGCTATGAACAGGCTGGCACCAGAGCATCTTCCCATGTGAACTGATGGATGCAGCCTCCATTTTTAGTGGTGTGTTATATCTAAGAGACATACTCCCTCCTCCAAAAGGGGTCAAGGCACACATTTCCCCAACAAAGTGCCCACAGCTTCCATTCTGGTCCAGAACACCAGTGGCAGAGATAGGTAAAGGTTTCCCTTGCTCAAAAGCCAGTCGCATCCGACTCGAGGGATGCGGTGCTCATCTTCATTTCCAAGCCGAAAAGCCAGCGCTGTCCAAAGACGTTTCCGTGGTCATGTGGCTGGCATGACTAGACGCCAAGGCGCACGGAACGCAGTTACATTTCCCCCAAAGTGGTACCTATTTACCGTGTTTCCCCGAAAATAAGACACTGTCTTATATTTATTTTTTCTCAAGAAGACACACTAGGGCTTATACCACAAATGCATAGAAATCCTGCTAGGGCTTATTTTGGGGGTAGGTCTTATTTTCGGGAAAACAGGGTATCTACTTGCAGTTTCTTGCTTTCAAACTGCTAGGTTGGCAGGAGCTGCGACCAGAGACAGGAGCTCACTCTGTCATGCAGCACTCGGGGAACTGCTGAACTACCGACCTTCCGGTCTGCACTTCAGCGTCTTAACCACTTGAACCACCGCAGCCTCACTTTGTGATAGTATTCAGCAAATCAAATGCTTGATTCAAGGCCAACCATCTCATTCCGCTCCCCCATGGTGCAGGTGCACTGCCTTAGGTCCCATAACAGAGCAAGCCAGAACTCTGCACAGCCAGCCCTTTGAACAGTGACTATGAGGTTCTCTGAACAGTGACTATGAGGCTGAAATCAACCCTGAAGAGAAAATGTTACATCTGAAAACACTTCCAACAGCAGGACCACCACTCAAGCTATATACACTTGATATATCCACTCTGAACATTCATAAATCCATATTCTTTTATTACGAGAGAGAGAGAGAGAGAGAGAGAGAGAGAGAGATTGTAGTCTAACCTAACCATATATTAAAAGGATTTCTAAATCTCAGACAATGCTCCCTGTTTGGCTTTGGAGCTGCCAGTATCTTTTAACAGCACAACTACAGTTTTACTGATCTATTTATTAATTAAAATATTTATACCCCACCTTTCCTCTTGGCTCAGATTAGAGAGAGACAGACAAAGAAGAGTACTCGCAAGAGAAAGAGCGACACAGAAAAGCACATCCATTCATTTACCTTGATCATTAGACATTTTATCTGAAGATTCAGCTACCAGGACAAGCACGGAGGAAGAAACAAATGAGAGAAAAGATCACCAGATCGGAAGGTATTACAAAAGAAATCGCTGGCACAGAATATCTTTTAAAATGGGGAATCAAATTAATGCTACCGGTATGGAACTGAAGGTTTACCTTCCCAGGATTATTTTCAACTCTTGTTTGTATGCTACAGTAAGACCTGCTCATATCCTGTGTCAGTAAATCATGGAATATTTATGCATTCGTTCATATTTAAGAATATGACAGCTACTATGGTGTGTTGCTAGACACTTCCTCTCACAGTGAGACCCCTTTGTGATAACTGACACATTATCACAAATTCACTTGCGCCAAACAGTATCAACCCAGGTAACAGGCAACTGTTTGAACAATGGCAATGCGATGAGGAAATGTTCTCATTTATCCATTCCTCCCCCCCCCCCGTACTGAGGGAGCTCATAGAGTTACTAATTCTATATTGTCACTGTTACCTTATGAAACAATTTTGGGATGCTTTTATTGCTTTTCGCCCCAGTATGTATGTGAATTTTAAACTTGTCAAATAAAAATAATAATAAAAAAAGGAAAAGGAAAAAAAGGCAATGCGTGGTAAGCTGTGTCCTGGCAAGTACTCACCCTTTCATAGATACCTCTAATGTCAACAACAGCTTGAGCGTTTACATTTTCCAAAAGATAGCGGAGGATGCCACTCCGAGAACAATGGAGATGAACACAGGAAAAGACATCTGAATCACAGGCCCCACCCAGAGACATGGCCTAAAAAATGCTTAACTTCCATGTACTGTTTTGGTACTGGTGGTGGGAAGTGCTGTCAAGTGACAACTGACTTATGGCAACCCTGTAGGGTTTTTAAGGCAAGAGAGGTGGTCTGCCATTGCCTGCCTCCGCGTAGGAACCCTGGACTTCCTTGGTGGTCTCCCATGCAAGTACTAAGCAGGGCTGACCCTGCTTAGCTTCTGAGATCTGACTACACTGGGCCATACTGACCCATTTTGGAACAGCTTAAAAACCCTGTGTTTGCTCCTTTCCCCTCTGCCATAAGCAATGTAGACCTGAAGTCCTTCACACACAAGGTATTCACATAGATTCAGAAAGATCATGCACTCGTAGTGTGCCTTCTCACCAGCAGACTAGATTTATAATTATTATTCCCATATTGTTTAATCAGCAGAAAACATTGCAAAAAGACATTCAGCTGCACTACAGGCTTACCTTTAGGTGTTCTGAACTGCACTGCCTCTGACATAGGGCCCATGCCTTTGGAGTTGCGGGCTTGAATCTTGAAATAATACGCAGTGTCAAGGGTTAACTCTTGAATCTGGTGCGTCAGTCTGTTTCCTACTACCGGCTCAATGACCCAATCATGGATTTCAGCGTTTATATCTGTACTGTAGTAAATGATGTACCCTGCACAATAGAACGCAATTGGTAAATTACAAAGACAGATTTCCAAGGGCTCTAAATGCTCTGAGAACACTAAGTACATTTTGTCTATGACACTTGAAACCACTAGATAAACCCTTCCTCCTCAAGTTCCCTTTGCAATTCTCTCTCTGTGAAGCTAAAGAAGCAATTGCATAATTCATTACAGCTGCTATGGAAGAGAAATTGGGGTCATTTGATCAATTAGTATCTGCTAGCTCACAGAATACATTCCCTAAATCTTTACAAAACAATCCAGATTAATTGAAGTCATTGACTTCAGTGGAACACAGATCTGCTCATTTCTGGTATGGCAGGAATGAATTCTCGTTTTTCTACCAGTGGGCCAGTTCACACAGATTTCAACTGCATCGTGTTCTTTGATCCACTGAGGTTCCAACACATTTCTAATGCTCCTTGAAAAATGACAGCGTTGCGATCTGAGACCATGGATTCATGTTTTACACTCCTCATGCAAGCATAGTTTTAAAGTGGCAGAAATTGGCATGAAATTCAGCTCTGAGGCTAATGTTTTGGTCTTAGCAGGAAGCTCTGAGGCTAATGTTTTGGTCTTAGCAGGAAGCGGCTGCAGAAGACAGCTCTGAGCCCAGAAGAGGAGGCTTTTAAATTAAAAAGAAAATTAATTGCGAGAAAGCAAGACAAGATATACAGATCAAACTTTAAGCGATCAAAGAAATAACCCCAATTCAATGTGGTCAATGGCATGCCAGGACATTTACAGCATGATACTAGGCAGAGCTACACCATTTTAAACCCGCTTACTTCAATGGATTTAGAAGGTGTAACCCTGTTTAGGATTGCACTGACAGTCGCGTACCACTAATGATGCTCTACTATCTCTGATGCATCCAGCAGGTATCCGTAATAAGAAAATTCCTCAGCAGGGGAGAAGAAGAGATTGGATTTATACCCCGCCCTTCACTACCCAAAAGTGTCTCAGAGCGGCTTACAAACTCCTTTCCCTTCCCCTCCCCACAACAGACACAACATTTGTTGGCTAACAAATAAGTGTGGCACCCTATTTGAAAATAACTACAAAAAAATTCTGATTGGAATCCAAACAGATTTAGGTAAATGGAAAGATCTTCAGCTGTCATTGTTGGGAAGGGTGGCAACTATTAAAATGTGTATTCTCCCAAAACTTATGTTTTTGTTTCAAGTCTTACCTGTTATAAGGAGTCCAATTTTTTTTAAAGACTTGGGTAAACTAGTTTCAAACTTTATCTGGCAAGCTCGAAAACCTCGATTTAAATTGAAAGTTATGCAAGAAAGGACACAGAAAGGTGGTCTTGGCCTACCTGAGTGGCAGCTTTATTATAAAGCTGCCGCTATGTTGTGGATAAAGGACTGGGTTTTATTGGTAAACAGTAGGCTTCTCAAATTGGAGGGCCATGACCTCCCTATGGGGTGGCACGCCACTATTTGGTATAATAAAGGGAAAAACATATTTGTAAGACACTATATAAGAGGTTCATTACTTAAAATATGGAATGAATTGAAGCAACGGTATTTTCTGAAAACACCCAAATGGGTATCCCCCATTGAGGCTTTTGCTAACCCAAACTTGTATGACCATGAAAAGAAATTATGCTATGAAGATCTGTTAGATAACGCAAATAATCTTAAACCAATTGAAAATTTGAAGGTGCAATATAAGGATCTATCATGGTTACAAGTAATGCAATTATATTCCAGATATAAGGAAGATCAAAAATATGGTTTTTATGTCCAACCTATAGATTTAGAAAAAGTTTGGATTAAGTCGGGAGGGCGAATAATAAAAAACGTATATGGTTATTTACTGGATGATAAAATGCAAGATGAAGTGGTAAGGCTAAGTCTGGAAGCCTGGAATAAGGACTTAGGTTACAATATAGAAACAGACAAATGGTTAAAAATATGGGATACCAATATAAAAATTACTAGGGCTACCTCCTTTAAAGAGAATATTTATAAGGTTGCCTTGAGATGGTATATGTACCCAGTCAAGTTGGCTAAGATTGCTAAAACGACTGTTAACATGTGCTGGAAGTGTAAGCTTAACGTTGGCACATATATTCACATGTGGTGGCACTGTTGTAAAGCGAAGGAATATTGGACAATGATAAGCAAATTGTTGGGGGAAATAATGGGATCTCAAATCCCTCTTAAGCCTGAAATTTTTATACTAAATATGATCCCCAAGTCCTATGGGAGAGTAGGGGAACATTTGTTGGTTCATTGTTTTACTGCTGCTAGGATTCTGTACGCCAAATACTGGAAAGATCCGAAAATTCCAGAAAGGACTGAGGTGATACAGAGGATATGTGAAGTGGCCGAAATGGATAAATTATCTAATATCCTAAAGGGGAAGAATGATAAAACCTTTGAAAAAAATTGGGAAAAATTTTATAATTGGACACGATCTGTGAAGGGTTAGTTTTGTTTTGTTTTTCAGTCTTAACAAGTTCAAGAAGAGATGTGATGTTATGTATAGGTTATTGTTGGTAATTGTGAGGTAGGTGGGGCTGAGAGAGCTCTTGACAGAAACTGCTCTTTTTCAAGAACAGCTCTTATCAGAACTACGGCTTGCCCAAGGTCATCCAGCCAGGTGCAAGTGGAGGAGTGGGGAATCAAACCCGGTTCTCCCAGATTAGAGTCCGCACACTTAACCACTACACCAAACTGGCTTATGAATGGTTATGAGTGGACGTGTTTCTCACTAACACCACATGGACAAAGGCTAGGGTTCTCCTGGCCTAACATAAATGTGGGATTCAAAGTTTATAACAACAGGACATGCTACAGTCTGACATATTACAGTACAAAGCTGCTTGTGGAGAATGTAGGAGAACTGAAAGATGAGGGACAGCCTTGGTGCTGATCAGATACCATGGATCGGTGCCCTATTTATTAGGCAACGTGGATAAAACAACCTTGCTGCAGCTTCCTGGTGTAAAGTGCTAACAAGGATCTCTAACCTAACTATAAGTAAACATGTTTTAAGAGGATGTAAAGGTAAAAGTAAAGGTTCCCTTGCTCGAAAGCCAGTCGAGTCCGACTCTAGGGTTGTGGTGCTCATCTCCGTTTCAAAGCCGAAGAGCCAGCGCTGTCCGAAGATGTGTCTGTGGTCATGTGGCAGGCATGACTAAACACCAAGGCGCACGGAACACTGTTACCTTCCCACCGAAGTGGTACCTATTTATCTACTTGCAATTTCTTGCTTTCGAACTGCTAGGTTGGCAGGAGCTGGGGCCAGAGACGGGAGCTCACTCCGTCATGCGGCAACTCGGGTCTTGAACTGCTGAACTACTGACCTTCCACAGTCTGCAGTTCATCATCTTAACCACTTAAGCCACCGCAGCTCCTTTAAGAGGATGAGTAAAACAAAAAAAAAGTTTCAGCTAGGTTTTGTAAGACTGTTGTAGCACACTCCACCAGAGGGCAGACCTTTCATGTCGTTCTACAGTAAAGATAAATTTGGTACACATCTTTATCCCATTTCAAAGCATGGTCAGCCCAAATGACAGCAACTGAGGAAAGGAATGGGAAGGGAGAAACAGGGACCATATTGTTGACAGAGCTCCCTTCCAGGAGAAACGGCCCTGGAAAAACCATCCTCTCCTACACACCTTTAATCAGGATGGCCTGAGGAAGTGTGTATACACTCAGCCGGAAAAGGTACCAAGGAATATCTCTGTGTCAGAGAGCAGCACACAGATGCTAACCCTGTCGGCTGTGGAGAAGGGAATGCTTTGTCCCTCTCTTCCCCTCAGCCAACATGAGCCTGATATGGCCTAAACTCCCCTCCTCCATAGATGGCACTCGGAAGGAACTGCCTTCAGGGCAGTAGCAAAGGAAGGGATGTGGGCAATGCTCCCTCTAAGCTGTGGAGTCTTGTGAGCAAAAATTCTACTTTGTGAGCTACTGGCATTAAAGTTGTGAGCGAGTGATTTGGCTGCTGCATCAATTAGTCTGCTCTGGAGCCATCCTTCCTGAGCTAAGATGAAAATGTGTGAGCTGGAGGCTAAAAAACTGTGAGCTAGCTCACACTAACTCAGCTTAGAGAGAACACTGGATGTGGGTGGCCCTGCTAGACTCAAAAACACCGCTTTCTATCCCAGGGCTATTCTCCAACGTCTTGAACAGCAAGCCCAACCGTCCTGAAGGAAGCTCACCTGTAATTTTGCCGTTGGCTTCAGACGGAGGCTGCCAGTTGACTATGATGGTCCGTGGTTTTCCTTCTTTGCTCACCACAGTGACGTCCTTTGGAGGAGAAGTTGGAACTGCAAAAATATTGTAGATGAGGCGTGCGTGTATTGGTAGTAGCATTATCCTCATGAGCGTGCTTTAGGACAGGCAATAATATTCCGCTATTTAAGCCTGCAGGGCCTGCAGTAATTATCCGTTTTTCTACTGAACTAGCCACAATAATCAAGACTCAAGATTCCCTTCCAATGTTCTCTTTAGACACTTGGGAAGCATCTTTAGGAGAAGCTGAGTTGCTTTCTTGTACATAGGCATTTAGATTATATATTCAGACACACATGCATCGACAAAGCATTCCTGAGGGGGGGAAAGGTTACACTGAAACATCTTGAAATTCTAATTTTGCACTCTTGAACTACCTACGTAGATTCCCTCATGGTTTTATAAATTATGAATTTTTCTGCACTGCTTAACAATTAAATCTCATTTTTTAAAAAGAAAAGAAAAAGCAACTGCACATTTGTTCCTCCTCACCATCAGCCTTTCTTTCTATAAATGACACAGCTCTCTAGAGCAGAAGATGAAATGTAAGCCAACAATCTTCAGCTGGGATTCCTAATAATATCAGTGAGGTGGATGGAGCAGAGATGCTTTCTGGTGTGCTAATAACTTTGGATCCTGTGGGGACTTCTCCAGTAATGAACACAGAACTCTGATCTGACACTCACATGAAGCTGCCTTATACTGAATAAGAGCATCAGTCCATCCGGGTCAGTATTATCTACTCAGACAGGCAGCTGTTCTCCCGGGTCCAGGTGGAGGTCTTTCACATCACCTGCTACCTGATCCTTTGAACTGGAGATGCCGGGGATTGAACCTGGGACCTCCTACATGCCAAGTAGATGCTTTACCACTGAGCCATGGCTCCTTCCCATTTCCTGTTGATGTTTTCAAGAAACACTTTAACCCAATGGTGGTAGGGACTTTCCTTGGGCCTCGCCTCATGTGATTGTCTGAAGAGTGTGATTGTGTGAAGAGATCTAACACTGATTCTCTGAGGTTTCTTAGCACCGATTCTGGCTTCTTGACTCATTTGTAGAACCAACGCACGGGAGATAAGATCATGCAATTAAATCTCAACACCACAGGGCGCAGAGTACATGGGATATGCTTTGATCAAATCAAAGTCTGCCTTATCTCTTGCTCGTTCTCTAATTAAATGACACACCCCCTCCCTCCAAATAATAATGAAGTTATGTCTTAACGGCTATTATTAAGAGACAATTACATGTGTAGAGTATTCTGGCTTTTTCAAAATCTTCCTTACATAACTATTTTTATGTCTAACCTGACCTTTGCTCAAAGGACTGTAGTTCTGTCCGCTTTGAAAGAAACCTGAGGGTTTGTGGTTACCGCCACAGTATTGCTGACTTGGAGACTGACATGAGAGCCTCCAAAGAGGTCCTGCTTTTCGTGTCACCCTTCTGTCAGGCGACCACTCGGGAGTCAGGACCTGGTGACCCTTTGACTGCTGAGTGCCCTGCAACCAGGAAGGTTTCGCCCTCTCCTTGGCCGTGTTTAGGAAGGACATTGAGGCCTACTTGCTCCAGGTGGCTAAGAGTATTTTATGTCCCCTTTGCGTTATATCTTTGGTGTTCCCACCTCTGTCTATAAGTTCTGTATATTCGGTCATGGAAAGGGTCATCAAGTCCCAGCTGACCTATGGGGACCCCACGGGGTTTTCAAGACAAGGGACGTTCGGAGGTGGTTTGCCACTGCCTGCCTCTGCATACCATCCCTGGACTTCCTTGGTGGTCTCCCATCCAGGTCCTAACCAGGGTCGACCCTGCTTAGCTTCTGAGATCTGACAAGTGAGGCAGGCATGGGTCAGCCAGGCCAGGGCCTGTATATTTAGTATTGTGCTTTTAATGGATGGAGAAGAAAAAGAAGAGTAAGCAGGGGTTTTACACTCTTTGGGTTGCTTTGTTTTGTATTTTGAAGCCCACCTTTGAGTATCAGCTAGAAAAGTAGTCTACAATTAAGGAAAATACATAATTGTATATAATTGTAGGTGGGGAGGGGGTTGTGACAGTTTTTATTTCATCTTCTACCTTAAATGTTTGATGTTCTAAACACCTTGGGGATACCTTGATATAAAAGACAGGGTACAGAGTAAAGTAAGCAGCCCTTAACTATAGATTCTGTAAGAAGCATCTTGTAGAAATGACTTGCCCATACCTGATTCAAAGGTGGTCCCATGTGCTGTCATGCTCCAAGTACTCGACCTTCGGCCTTTGGTCACCATGACAGAGAACTCATACAAGGTGTTGGGCTTTAAGCCAGTCACTAAGAAGCTTAAGGTGGTTGTATTTGCAGTCTAAGAGAAACCAAAGGATCCACAAAAGGAGAATCAGAAAAATCTCAGCCTATGGTAATGTCTGGAACGTTCTCACATTACACGCCCCCTTAATCACCTCCCTTTTGCAAACTCAGTGATGCAAACTCAAGTGTTAATGGAGCATTTGTGCAATTGGCAGCTAGAGATTCCTTTTATAATCAATACAAGTATTTGGTACTAGTCAATTATACATTTAGAGAAATGACCTCAAGGTCTTTGGTCTACTTGTTATGCAGCAAGCCTTCCAGTTGCCTGCTGACGGTGTCTAATGTACCGTACTTCATTAAGGGAACTCATACGGGAACCTGGTACCAAAAAAAAAAAAGAGTGCTAAACGCTCACATTTGTGGCAAAACTCCAGGCTAAATTAAAGGCCAGGAAGTAGCTGGAAGGACTGATTCCCAGGACCAAATTAGGTGTTTTCTTGGCAAATGCATAGCCGTAACCTTTCATTCACTGAGATAATGAAGAGTAAGGGATGGGGGAGCTACTTACGGGAGGGGGGGAAGCATAGACAAGAAGGAGAAAAGGGGTCTTAACTCCTTCTGCACCCACCACTCTTCCCTGCAAATGCACCCCCATTGTGTTCGCTTCCAGTTCTGGAGCCAGATTATATAGGGAGAGACTCACAAACTACAAAGCGAGTATGTAATGTAAACTGCAGCTACATTTAACAAGTCTGACATTTAACTCTCAGTTCTTAAGAAAAGGTTATAAAAGCAAAACACTGTTTACAAAGCCACTTCCCTTGAAAACAGGCTGACTGAACGTGACCAAAATGAAACGAGAGAAAATAGCATGCAATTGGTGAAGTGACTGTTTGGAAGGTAAAAATTTTAACATCCATTTGGTACCTCAATACAGAAAAATTGTGGTTCAAAACAAGAGCCGTGCCATTTAAGAAGAACCCACTTCTCTGAGTGATTTATATGTAGGTGCCCAAATGAAAGCAGCTTTCCAGGCCCAATTTACAACCTATGTAAATCTCTGATCATTTTGGTCACACTTACTCAAGACTCTTGTCAAAGGAGGAGGTGCTGAAGTCAATGAGCTTAGGAGAGTATAGTTCTATTTAGGATTCCGCTAACACTGAACTTCTCCCAAGAAAACCGCATGTCCTGCTCTCCCCCCCCCCCAGCTAGATATAACCAATTTAAGGGAAGAAAGAAAAGGCAGAGCTTTTTAAAACCACTTTTTGTACACGGATGAAAATCAGCCAGAAGTCTGGGCTTAATTAGGGAACCTACTCCAGAAATGGTTGCCAAACTGAGTCAATTTTTCCCTAATTGGCTCTCCTAGGGCATGCAAGTTATACTTTAAAGGGGTATATTTAAAACTGTCTCAGTCCAATGTTCTGTCATTGGACACCCTAGAGATAGGCCTATGATATATAACTCGACTATCTAATAAAACTATTTACGTTTCCCAAATGGTGCACTATGCGAGAAATCCCACAGACTTATCAAAATGTTTTTCGGTGCTGAGCAAGAAGAGCCAAAGGCGGGTCCTCGCTTTTCGCCACTGTAGGCACTAAATCAGGGATCCCCCAACCCTTCTCAGCCTGCAGTCACCTTTGGTATTCTGACACGAGTTGGTGGATACAATCACCAAATGTCTGCCACAGAAAGCGGAGCCAACCACAAAATGTCAGGGAACAAGGCTATATACACCTCTTCAACACCACAGGCAGACGCTCTGTTTAACAGGATCTGCAGAGCCAATCAGAAACCCTGCTGGGGAAAAGCTCCATCAAGCCCCACCCACTTTCTGAAAGCACTTGGTGGGTGCCAGGAAAGGTGTCAGCAAGCGCCATGGCACTCACAGGAACCATGGTTGCACTACACCCATGAAACAGCTAAGCCACCCTTTCCCACTCAAGATGAATCCTGTAGTGCTGAGGTGACTTTGACGTTATTTCAATGTTAAGACATGTTACTCAACCCTGTGGACAATGCAGCTGCATAACCGAAGACAATGATGCATGAGCCAGTCATAGAGATTCATTGGTGAAACCAAACATGCCAGCCATACCCAGGAAACCAACATGTTAATGCAGAGGTGTCGAACTCATTTGTCATGAGGGCCAGATATCTGACCTAAATGTCACTTTGTCGGGCCAGGTCATGTGTGCCATAAAATTAATGCCAGCTACCAGAGATATTAAACTGTCAAAAGGACAGCAGCTGGTAAGCTCCGAGTTGGTGTATCCTCACTGCAAGGCCTCATGGGCTGGGAGGGGTGTGTAAAGGAAAACCCGTATGGGCGGACTGGAGAGCCAGCGGTGCAGCCCTGGGCAGACACTCCCACACTGCTTGGCTGCTGCAGATTAGGTTGTTCCACCATGCTGAAGCCACAATCAGAGTGGCTCCGTCTACTCCCCCACCCCACAGGCAGTCTCCTGTTCCTTCCCTTGCACTAGTTGCTCGCGGGCCGTGTAAGAGCCCTGGACGGACGGGCCGGTTCTGGCCCCCGGGCCTTATGTTTGACACCCCTGTGTTAATGCAGTCCCACAGTGTTATCATTACCTTGTACTTTGTGTTGGCAGGAATGTTGGTTTTCCACCGGACTGTGTAGTAACGGGCATCTGAGACCTTCTGGTTCTTTGGCAGAGAGTTGTCTGCCCAGGTGATTCGGATGGTGTCATGGCTCAGTATGGAAGCCTGAACTCCCACGGGTGGCATCATGGGGGAGGGATCTGGCACTGGAGTGTACGGAGCATTAACAACAAATAAATCAACTTCAGAAGTGTCTAAGGAATTGATGGGTAAAAGTAGGGTATTACAATAAAAAAGAAGGAAGGTGGCATTATAATGTGAATAAAAACAAAAGGGGGGAAATGCAGGGTAATAACGATGAAATGAAAGGTGAGACATGGAGAAAAAGAGAGAAAAGCCAGAGTTAATAGCAACACAAGACCAGCAGGAAAAAAAAGTTTTCAGTGATCATTTTGATCTCTTCTTAAAACTCATGCCTCAAATAGAGCCACAAAGTGGCATGACAACTATCACCAAAAGCTTAATACAAACACATTTGAAATGGTTTACTGCCTTAGTTCTTGAGCATCAGCTCGGTTTAAAACTTCAATTTATCCCATCTCCAAAACGATGTGGGGGGAGAGGTAGAACTGGCATCCAGTATCCCTCATACAGCACTAGAAAAAAAATATTTTCAGGGAAAAGACCTGCTTGTTTGAGTCAGAAAAACTGAGGGAACACCAAGGCAGGACACCTGGGATCCAGCAAGAAAATTCAAAACCAAAAGGCCTGCTGAATTCTTTCAAGTCACATGAATCAACAACGGGAAGCAAAAGTAAATAACGGGCAGCACAAAGGTTAGTGGGCTAGTCTGCTTGCAGCTGGAGTTAGGTATGTGCATTAGCAGTTTATGGCCAGCTAAGATTATCCAAATTCTTCAGTGTACCCAGGGGCATCACATGATAAAGGGCAGGGACATCTGTTATGCAGCAAAGAACTGTACTCACAGGTGTTTCCCGCAGCAGTGTGGATATATACACCCATCTTTAAATGCCTGGGGCAGCTTAAAGAATAGCATGCATACGTACATGCTGCCTAGTCTGCGGCTGGAAGTGGAACAGTGATATACACGCCACAGTGTTTGCTGTATGACACGGGCCTTTAAGAACAGGAGACTTAAGAGATACATCAGGCGTGTCTGAAGCATGTCAGAAAATGTTCACAATGAACAAAAAGTCACTGCCAAATTTTGTAGGAAACAAGGCTAGAGCTTGTGCACATTGGTGTACATTAATCTGTGCTCTACGGCCAATGTAAAAATGTGATGGCAGCAGCTATGAAGTAAATTCCAAAAAACTATAACCAGATTTAAACGTTTTGCTTAATATATGGTTTAACAAGATATTCATGGAAAGAAAAAGCTCTGCAAGCCATAAAACGCACTGGGAGTTTGAACCTTAAAATTCAAGGCTGATCGCTGGGAGCCACAAAACAAATGAGCAAGCCTTATCCTTTACCTGTATAAGCCCTCGTCACTGCACTTTCGTAGAGCGGGATTCCTTCACCAACGTTGTTATACGCTTTCAAAGTGATGACGTAATGGGAGCTGGGATCTAAAGGGAAAAAATCCAAACTATTATTCCCAATTTCCATTCCAAATTCTTTGTTAATACTACAGCATTTAGTAACTCAAGAAAAATGAACTGTCCAATCAGATTACTGTTCCTTTGACCACTATCATGAACAGGCATACACTAGCAGGTAAAACAAACCAGACAGGTGGCTCTTTAAATATGCTGCACTATAACCACCGCCAAATATTTGGCCACCTGTACAGTATATCGGTTTTCTATATCTCTTAATAACCAAGAAATGTTCTCTTCGGGGAATCAGAACCAGCTCCAAGTGATGGGAGAATTAATTTTGATCTTAAATCTGAAAATATAGGATAATCTAAAACTATGTGGTCAATATTTAGAATCTATTCGATCTCGACTGCAAATGAACTAAGTAAAAGAAAAGTTCTTTCCCCTGTGTGGGCATATCAGAAAGTATATTCACAGAGCAAAATTCATACACATAAACCAACCTCCCCCCATCCCTGGTTAATTTTGTCAAATTTATTCCCATTCCATAATTAGCCAAATTGGTATTTCCTAGAAAATGTATATTGGTTTCATTCTCATTATTTGGTCAACACAGAAAAATCTTCAGAGTGGGGGGACATGGTGGCCACTTTTAGGACAAAGTGGGCCACTAGCAAAAAATCCCAAAAAAACCCCCAGGAAGTATTCTGAACATACACAGGTCAATATTGCTTTGCATTGTTATTTCAAAATGTAGCTAACAATATTTGATTTATAGCCCTCCCTCCCCTGCAAGCAGGTTCAGGGCAGGTAACAGCAATAACAATAAAAACATTTAAAACAATAAATATAATGTCTAATATCAATTTGCTGCTATTGCCGTATTCTCCTTACCCAAGTTTTCAATAGTGTAATATCGCTGCTTATAATCCACCTTGATGGTCTGGGCATGGGGGCTCCCTACACCATACCCAATAGCATAGCCTCTGACCACAATGTTCTGGTTTTCAGGCGG